CTAGCACAATTGCAGATATGGACTGTAGGCTATATGACTTGTGAGGCAACATCTTTTATTCAACTATGTACTCATTGGATGAGTATTAGCCAGGTCCCACCTAAGTGCCAGGCATAGTACTATATTCTGGAGTTCTGGGTAAGCAGCAGTTCAGTATTTAATATAATAAACAAAATGATTAGAGAGTTAACAGTAAACATGACAGAAGTGAGCAGAATATTGCATGGGACAATAGAGGAGGCAGTTTAGGTCAAATGAACAGTGTTAATAGAAAGAAGTGAACCAGGGAAGGAAGCACAGAACAGGGCAGGATAACAAATCAGACAGAAGACCATAATTACTTTTGCTACTGCAGTGGTTCCAATGAGGCGATTTTGTACTTTAAGCACCTTTTCACACTGTCTGGAGATCTCCTTGGTTGTCACTATGGAGGAAGTACTACTGACATCTAGTGGAGAGAGTCTAGGAAAGCGATCTGATGATCTGGAATGCACAGGACAACTTCCAGAGCCAAGAGTTTCTGTTCCAAAGTGTTCAAAGTTTTGAAGTTGGGAACCCCTAGGCTACTGTGGTAGCAGTGAAGATACAGAGAAGCAGATTAAAGAAGAGGCTTAGGGCTTCACCCAGAACATATGAAAATCAGCTGCACAGCACAGGGGAGCTGCCAGGGCAGAAGCAAGCGTGACCTCTGAGTCCCCGGTTTTAACAGCTGGATGGAAGGCTGTACTCACATGGAAATGAGCGGGAGAGATTGTGTCCTTTGCAAATGGCGGCTGATGAAAGGCTGTACTCACATGGAAATGAGCGGGAGAGATTGTGTCATTTGCAAATAGTGGCTAAAGTTGGCTGTGTGAATTTGCAGTTTATGAAGAGGATTCGAGGAAAGAAAAAGATTTGGAACCCCTTGGCTTAAACCATGCTTAACATCATAAAAATGCATGACATCACTTTGTGAAGAAGAAGAAGACGACCAAGAAGAAAGATGTAGCCAAAAATATGGGGCTTTAGTCCTAACACAATAACACATTCTTAGGAAGCTCCAAAAATCACTTGATGTTTTGCAGCTAGTGCCCTGGGTAATATTGTAAGTACCTTCAAGTGCACTCACCACATTTAGAAAACATAGTTATAGCATTTAGCTCCTTAGCTTACTGCCGGATGGTTTTTGTACCCAGTCGTCATCTAGCAGTTCAGTGTTTGAAAATGGATCCCCATTTAAGTAATGTCTCCAACCTTTCTAAGAAGTACAATGCTGCACACATATTGCGATGCTTTGTTATCAGCTGTAGTGTATGAGTCAAAGTGTAAGACTTGGGAATGAAAGCATATGCATTCCATCGAATGCATTTTATTCCCAAGAGGGCACTGTCATCACCGTGGCCATATTTGGACCAAAATGTGACTAGATTCATGTATGCACAAAGCCCATCCCTCCTGAAAAGCACAGAACAAATTAGCAGCAGCTGACAACTACTCATGAGGAACCCAGCACCACAAGCCAGCATGCATGACTAGCAGAGAGAAGCATTTTAACAAGGAGATGCATTTCCGTGCTGAGCTTCACAGAATCCTATAGATGATACTGAAAGGAAACATAAGTGGGCCATGTATTCTTTATGAAACCTGCAGAATCCAATTTCTCTCTAACAATGAGAAGGAAAACTCCACTCATATCCAAAAGGTCGCACATCTGAAAAGTAGTAAAATTTCTTTAAATAGTATTAGAACAGAGACCTGTTACTATTTTACACTATTAATTAGACTACCTTTGCTAACTTATTTTGCATCAGACAAATTGTCTTGGTTATCATCCTCTGGGACTGTTTACAGAATAAAATGTAACTTAGGTGTGGATTCCTTTAGCCAAAACATAACCAGCAGGAAGGAACTCATCCATACTGAGTATTAAGGGTTGTTGGACATAATCCTGATAGGTGCCTTAGTGTTTTGATGGTCCTTTTGTATTGTTGTTGCTGTCATTTACCTATAAGGATATTACAGCTTGGAGAGTGCACTGAGTAACAAGTATTTTACAATCATGCTGAATGAAAACCTAAAGTTGACTTGTGACTGCTTTACATGTATTCGGCCGGTGTAACAGCTACTCGGAAAAATTTTCCCACAAGAGATGACTGTGGCATCCATGCCACTTACATTTATATCTTTAGAAACTCTGGTTTTCTGAGTTTTTTTTCCCAAAAGGATGTGAAAATACAGGAGAACCAAGTGAGAAACCCCTTCCCTGTCTTGATTTCCCCTGCAAGTGGAGTATAGTACTGCTGCGCACACTCCCTTGGCTGTAAGTATAGGACTCTTCTTAATAGAAAAAGTATAGTCTGTGCAAGCCATCCAAAGGAGAAATCGAGATATGAGAAAGCACACACAAGCTACTAGAGACAGATTTTTACAAAGAAATTAGCAAATTTGAAGAAAAAAAACAACTAGAATACACTAGAACCTACAGCAATGCAGGTGCCCAGGAGACAACTAAATTCTTGTCCTTGCTTTCCAGAAACTTGTCACACAATACTTCACCCAAGAAATATCCCAAGAAAAAATAAATGAATAGACATGCTTCATAAAAACCTCAAGTTTAAAAATAAACTGATGGATTTTTTTAAAATTCTCACTTTAAAAAATATTTACCAGTCGTTCATTAAAGTACAGGAACAACCCTTCATGAACTCTTTAAATGAGGTCAACTTCCTTCTTTTCTTTGCACCTACCATATGGTTTTCTGAAATTGACATTTTTTAATGTTGGAGAGAGAACTCAGAGCCTTATGTCTGCAAGCAGGAGCTCTACCCCTGAGCTGTATCAACAGAGCCCACATTTCTTTAAAGGCCATGTGTTTTATGCTAGCAGCAACCATATTCCTGCTGTGTGTTCAAGACTTGGCACAATGTTTCACAGGAAGTAGGTCCTCAAAAAATGCATTGCATGGATGCATGGATGGATGGATGGATGGATGGATGGATGGATGGATGGATGAGAGTATGATTGCCTTCTGAGACAGATCATTCCATTGTATGATTCTATCCGGTTTGGAAACAGTCTAAAGTAAGCTGAAGTTGATTCTTTTTCTCCAGTTTTCATCTACTATTCTTACTTTTGGATTTCTTCTTATTTAGCCAACACTAAGAAAGCCTCCTTTCTTCAATACAAGAAATTGAAGTTACTGTAGATAGCCACCTATGACCTTGATCCTTTCCATGCTAAAGTGCACCCCCAAATCTGCACAAATCCCCTTCTTATCTGAATGTGTGTTCTATTTCCTCAACTCCCATCCAGAAAAATTGAGAACCCCCCACACACAGTGTGACCTACTAGCTTCCAGCAGTGACGCTACGGCCTCCTTGAAGGAGCTGGTATGCTTTTCTCATGATGGGTTCCTTGGCGAGGGTATTCTCTACCATCAGATACAAGCTACTCAATATGCATCTGTGGAATAAATGGATTTAAAGACACACTACATTTGTAGTTCTTTCAATCATAGGCTCATAGGCTCTATGGACATTCCTTTTACGAATTAACTCAATTTAGATCAACTTTCCAAGTCCCTCCTTGGGGGGGCGGGGTTTGCACCTTGAGGTGTTCAAACAGAACCAGCAAACATTTATATGGAACATTCCTCAGAAAGCTCAAAGGAAATTAAGCCAGCACGAGCAAATGCTGATTTCCCCAGGGAAGTGTCCTTGCCCTTCTACAGAGAAATGGTCTCTAAACCTACATTGTTAGAATAGCCTATTTCCAGTGTTCAAATGTGACAGCCACAAGAAATTAAGAAAAGCAGCCTGCCCGAAGCTGCCTCTTTCTCAGCTCTGCGCTTGTAAAAGGAAGCAATTTTCACGACATTATCTCAGGTCCAGATAGGAAGAGTCGCTATAATCTTAAAAGACTGAAGAGTACCTATTTCTCCTCCTTCCTTCTTCTCTTCATTCTCCTCAGAGTTAAAAATGAAATCTCGGATAATTTCTTAAATCTCTCCCTCAGAGGCTGTGATTTCCTATCACGTGCTAGTCATCTGTGAGACCCCTGGGTAGACACCTAGGGATAAGGCTGTCATTCACTGAGGAGAGCAGGACTCCTCCTGCCTATGGACTAATGGGTTAGATTTTATCTGTCTTGGGGATACAAGACTCAATGGACTTCCCAGCAAGCACAAAGTTGGAGAGTGACTGCATGTGTGCGTGCATGGTGCAAATGTGTGTGTGTGTGTGTGTGTGTGTGTGTGTGGTGTGAGAGAGAGAGAGAGAGAGAGAGAGAGAGAGAGAGAG